AATAAAAATTATTTTGGAAAAAATAGTTGGCATTATTGCAATATTAAATTGTTTATAGAATTGTTTTATATATATATATGGAAAAAAAAAAGAAAAAGAAGAAACAACGAAGAACATGAATTACAAAAAAAACCTGGGGACTTATTTAACAAACGGATACATTTTGGTACGGTTTTAACAATTTGCATTGGTTTGTGTGTGTGTGTGTTTTTCTTTTTCTTTTTTTTTTTTTTTGTTTCATTAGCATCTATTTAAACATATTACACATTTAATTTTTGTAAATAATTCATTTCATTCTCACTAGTTTCCCTTTCACTTGTTTAATTGAAACGCACTTGTGTTTAATTAAAAACAAAATTGTCACAAGTTTAACAACAACACATATTGTCAAATTTACAAGAGGAATACACCGTATATATATATATATATGTATTGTATATATCTACACACATACACACATGTGTGTGTATTTTTTGTTGTTTGTTAATACATATACATACTACATATATATATATATTATATATCATAAATATTAACACTATGGCGTCCGGTGTCATGCATAAAACTATCTGTTGTTTAAGAAATATAATAAGTATAAAATTGTGCTTAATTAACCAAGAATTAAATAAGAACAATTTGTTGTTGAATAACATATTTTAAATTGAAGCAACTAATATTGCCGACATCTTGGAAATTTTGTTACAAATCCAAAATTCGTCGAACAAAAGAAACATTTCTATGATTTGCGAAACGACATAGTGTTTTAATTATATTCTCACGTAATTAAAGATGGAATATGTGAACACGCGTCCCATCTAAAAAAAATCTAATGGTTTCCTATAAGATTTTTTTCTTTAAAGATCGTATTCCAATGTGTTTTTAATATAATGTAGTATGAAAGTAAAAAATACACCTTTGTGGGAATGAACACGTTATACATATACACACAACACTCATGCATCTTACTTATTCTTCTTCTTCTTCTAACACAAACTCACTTTCTCTCTCTCTCTCTCTCTCTCTCTCTCTCTCTCTCACTCTCTCTCTCTCTCTTTCTCTTTCTCTTTCTCTCATGTGTCAGGAAAAAACATACTGAATTATATCAACACATTCTTGCCAAATTCTATTCATCTATTGAAATACGATCCTAATTTTTAATGTTTTATTCTTCGTGACTTACGTGTCACGTTGTTTGTCCGCAATGGACTCCTAAACTACTGAACCAATTTGAATAAAATTTTGCACACTCAGTGCAGTTTCATTCAACTTGAAAGATAGGATAGTTTATATCTTAATATATATGTCGATATATATATATAGATAAATAGTATACAGCTCGTTATACAAATAGGAGCTTCATTTATTTGACTTCTCATGATTTCTTGTTCTTTTCTTTTTTGAGAGAGAAATTACTAGCCATACTCAGTCTTTCCCTTTGCTCAATATATATATATATGTGTGTGTGTATGTTCTATTATTTTTTAAAACATAAATCCATACTCCTTTCTTTTTAAAATAAGATTTTCAATCTTTGTTTCACACGTTTTGTTTCAATGAAACGTTAAACATATGAATAAAATAATTCAAATGTAAATTGTTAATAAACAATTAGTGAAATATTTTTCAAAAATATTTCTACGTTAAATGTTAATTTTTATATCGATAGAAAGTTTCGTACAAAAATTGTAGAATTTAGTTTAAAATGTATTAAGATCGAGTCACAAATAACTTTTCCATTTTTTATGAAGACAAACAATAATGGCGTTTCTACGACTGATAAGTGCCAAGACACTTTTCATGGACGTTTTTTTTTTGTGCACTCTTTGCAATTGTTCAACCTATCTATTAGATTTTCTTTCAATATTAYCTTTAAAAGGTTCGTCAAAGTTGRAAATACGTCTCCTGYMCTCGGATTCATCTTTTAAGATCGTATCTTCAGAAATGGAATTTGACAAACCAATTTCTGACTGTCCTATATCAATTATCARTCCTGTACTGTATAACGCTGTATATTTTTTCAATTGCCACTTTAGTGCTTATTGCTTTGTTTCAATTCTTAAAGCCATTACATGGTCGAATATGCACTTTTTACAATCCCATTACAGTGATTTAGAAAAAATCGATTAAATGTAACATTGACTGTATAAAAAAGTTAACAGAAGACTAAACTGAATTCTCATCTATACAGTGATATCGAAAATCGGTTTGTTTCGGTGACTTGTAGTAGATAAATACGAATAATAGATTGAAAAGTTACTTATGACTCGATCTAATATTATTTAGTCTACATTGATAGTTTCAATTGAGTGCATTTAATGGCAGACAGTAGTAGTTGTGTTGTAATAGTGTGTAGGGAGATATATCCCTCCCTGTCTCCTAGTTTGTCGAGTTTCCTTTGAAAATTGATGGGGCATTTATTTCTACTATGCGTCATTGAATATTCTCAATTGTTCCTATTTTTACTTTTTTTTTTGTTTCTCTAAACACATTGTATAACATAAAACAAAGAGGAAACACAAGGTACAAGTAAAATGGCTGAATTAAAATCTACTGAAACATGAATTTCTAATTAATTCTTCTGATTTTTTTCTTTTTTTTATATCTTTTCAAGATTTGTTTAATTAATACTTCGAACAAAAATTAAAAATAAAAATAAAAATAAAAATAAAAATAAAAATAAAAATAAAAATCACTTACAAACTGTAGTTTCTACATAAAACGAGGAATGTTGGTTGTCAGTGTAAAATGGAAGGAAATTAAACGAAAAAAAAAAATAAAAAAATAAACTAATCGTTTCTTAAATTATATAATAATAATAATAATAATAATAATAATACGAATACTAAAGAATTTGTCCATGAAATTAATTGATCAAAAAATACATTTAAAAAATATCATTAATTATCATTTTGATTTTTGAACAAAAAGAACAATATTTTTTTTCCGAGTCATCTTTCTTGTTTTGTGTTTTTATAGTATAGACACGATTTGTATCAAAAAAAAAAAAAAAAAACAATGGAACTATTTTTAAACGTACGATTGATACTTTTTACAAGACTTTTATATATCCTATAATATATCTTTTTGTTATATTAAATATCAAACTATATAAAAAGATATTTGTTTAATGTTTAAATGTAATTATCATCGTTAATCGATTATTATACGTATATATATATATATATATAATTACTACTTTATTTTTTGTTTTCTTTTGTAAATAATGTACGTTCTGTTTTTGTTTTTCTTCTTCATCATYATCATCATCAGCATCAACGTTCATTTGTTACAAAAACATTTTTAATGAACGACGATGTCTTTTTTTTTAAGTGTCTCTTTGTTTTTATATTAATGGCAAATAAATTTTAAACAAAAAAAAAAACATCTACGATGCTACCTACGAGTGTGACTGTTGGTGTACTTGGTTTATAATAATTTTTTCTAATTCTATTCACAAGCACATACCTATCTATTATTACACGTTATTAGAAAGATGATAATCAGGTTGGTGCTTGTTCATTTCTTCATTTATTTTATTTTATTTTATTTTATTTTATTTTATTTTCGTACCCTGAATCTCTCACTAAATACTAAACCTATTTTTAAAAAATTGCTTCTTCTTTCAAGGTTTTTTTTCTCTTTTTTTTTTCTTTTTTTTTTTTCTTTTTTTTACTTTTGTTCGTTTGTTCATATTTATTCATGTGTGTGTGTGTGTGTGTGTGTATGTATGTAATATAAAAACTCGCGTGCAAAAAATCTTTTTTTTTTTTTTTTAAATTAATTCATTTAAAATACTAAATAGATAAAAAAAAAAAAAGAAATAAAATAAGAAAATAAAAAAACAAACGAGAGCGACGAACAATGCAATAGTAGCAAGAAAAATAATAAATCAAACGTAATGTATATTTTTACAACACAATTTGTTGCACATTCCAATGTTATACTCTTCGCGTTCAAATTGCAATTTCAAAATAAACTGAATATTTTTTTTTCAACAATTAATGGTTTAACCCTTTCGCACCAGCTGGGACACCAAGTCCCAGCTGTCCCAGTCAAGGAAAAATTGTTCAATCAATTCAAAATTCAATTGTGAAATCAGTGTTGTTGATGGTGCACTGTTATGAGGACCTTTATAGTCTCTCCAAATCCTTCAATCTTTTAAACAACAAAATTATTTCATCAAATAATCGTTTGGAGAAGAATTCAACTGATCTTTGTAATGGGGACACACTTGGACTGATTGATTTTTCCCCATATTGAAAGGGTTAAACTGTTTTAGATGACAACATCAATTAAAAAAAAATTCAGTGCCATTTCAACTGTAAAAAACGTGTTTTAATTAACTGCGACAAGAATGCATGTGGTGATGGTGTGGTGGTGGTTGTTAAAGACATTGATAACGACTTTGTTTTTAAATATAATTCAAATTGAACGCGAAATGTCAAGTGTATTATTATTCGTAAGATAATAATAATTGCTTAGAAAAGTTAAGAAATGTTTCTGGTACTTTGAAAACGCACAACACCTTTCTTCTCCATTACACATTTGTACAAGAGAACAACACGTATTTTAATAGTTGTTTAATGAATCATGATACGGATATGACGAAATTTATGCGACGAAGGAATCTGGTAATGGACATGCATTCTAATTATTCAAATATTTATAGAATGAACCACCGTAGCAATATAAAAATACAAATTCAAAATTTCACCTCTTTTTTTTCTTTTTTTCTTACTTCATCGATCTCGATTTTTGTTTTTTTGTTTTTTTCCTAATATCTAATTTTTCTCTCTTTTTTTCTTTTTCTTTTCTTTTCTTTCATCATCATCATCATCATCATCTTCATCTAATGCTCAAATAACAAGTGTTATTAGTCGTACTCGTTTGTTATAGTTAATAATGTTACCATTTCTCATTTGTTAAATACGAAACAATGATCAAGAAGAAGAAAGTGATTTGTTTCTAAAAATCACTTTGCATTAATTATACTTTTTTTGTTTTTTTTTTTTTAAATATAAACAGATTGATCATCCTGTTTTATCATGATTGTTTAACTTCCTTTTTTTTTCTCCTCCTCCTCACACGATTCTCTTTTCTAATTAGCTAAGGTATTTAAAAAGAGAATAATAATAATATAAGAATCAAGATATGAAAATCTTGAGTTGAGAAGAGTTGCAAGGATTTTCTCAAAATACGTGCATCGTTAATTAGTATCACATCATATATATATATATATATACATATAGATATATATACATACACATATATATATATATATATATATATATATCTCTACAGTGATACCCCACTTTGTAATCCTATCAATCCTAACCACGCATATACAAATAGCTAACAAGTGCTAAAACACCCCCACCAACAATTGCTGCACCTATGCCTATTGTAAGGGGCTTAAATAATGACCTCTTGAGTTTTTGCCATTCTTCAACTTCCTTTTGCCGACGTTTCATCTCACGAACTTGTGCAGCCAGTCGTTCCTTCTTATCAAGATTGCGTTGACGTAATTCACTTTTTCTATTGATACAAATTAAACAATGAATTAAAATAAAACAATTCAACGAATACAATTTGTGTTTTGTTTTGTTTTTAAATATACTCACGCATCGGGACTGGACGGAGGGCTGTTAGGATGAAAAGATGTTTCACTATCGTTGACAATGTCAGCTGAAGATACAGCACCATCGGAATTCTGTTCGTGAATTTTGTTTGTAATTGATGTAGAATTTGTTGGGGGAGGACTTGTAGATGGTTGCGTACACGTTGATGGTTCCCTAGGCAATGGTTTATCCGGTGGTCCACCTAATTCATCTGAAAAAAGAAATATTGTACAAACACCATTGATATATCAATTTATTCTTCTGTAAATGACAATAAAAATAATCACCATTTGTTGTATTTGTATTGGCAGTTAATTCTGCTATCTTGCTACGTTGTAAAGATTCTCCTCTAGGTGGTGGCAAAGGTGGAGGTTCATCTTCTTCCTCTATTGATGAGTTATTGATGTTGTTAACAACATCATAATGATTTGTTACTATTTCATTGTTGTCAACGTTCTGTAAAATACAATTGATTTAGAAAAGAGTTATCTTTGTGTAGCATCACAGTAGAACAATGCTATTAGAATGTTAAATATTATCATCATTGTTTACACATAGTTCATTTTGTAATCGGATAATAGCTAATAGCATTGTACTACTGCGAATTGGTATTAGTTACCACGTTATTAGATGGCAATTGTTTAGCTCCTTCAATAATGGCAGCGTAGGAAAATCGTAATTGTTCTGGTGTTTGTATTAAACCCATTCTGGATTTTCTCATTTCCATCAAAACGTCACGTACATTAACCGAATTCAAACCATTCTCTTCTATCTGCAAAAATAAATAAATGAATACAATTTATAATAATAATAATTATAATAATAATCTTGTTGTATAATATATTTGATAATATTTATGTGTTTGACTTACTAAAACAAGGCATGTATCTACTAAACAAAATGTTCCGGATCTTCCAATACCAGCTGAACAATGAACAACAGGTGGTCCAACGTTTTGATTTAATACTCCTGATTGTCTAACATCTGATAAAAAATGTAAAAAGGCTGTAGGACTTTGAGGCACGCCAAAATCAGGCCAAGTTATATAATGAAAGTGTAAAATATCTCTGCTTTCCAATGTTTCCAAATCTGTTATTCTAAAAACAAATCAAAGAAACGTGACAAATATTATAAATATACATTTAAAAAAATCTTATTAATATAATCATAATACAGTAAAATTTCAATTGTTTTACCGTAATGTTCTTGTAGTATAATCTGGGGTCTCCGTTTTACTAATGTATTCTACTTTAAGACCAACATCTGGGAAATCCATGGTACTTTCCGTACTATCCAATGGCCAATATTGATGACACTTGACATGATCTTTTTCTATAATCTTATTTAACATTAATACAGCTTTACTATTTTGTTCCCATACCATTAGCCAGAAATGACCAGCGGTAGATGGCAGTGGTCCTTGAGTTAAAATATATTGTCTATGTGCACGATCAACCTAAAATTAAGAAAAATATTATATCAAAGTGTTTACATAAACTTGTCAATTAACATTACAATGATAAATATATAAATACCTGTATAAGATTGGCATTAATGTAATCACATGGGCCCCTTTTAAGAACGATTCTTGTATGATCGTAAGGAGACACATCTCTGTAACGATTCAAGTTCCTATTTTGTCGTTTTTTAGATTCGTTAAAGGTATATCCATAATTGCCGCATTCATTTCTTATATGCTGTTAAAACATTTTAATAACATTGATTGATTAATGGTTAGTAATAACAATTTGGTTGTAACATTGTCAAACCTAATGGTATCATATAGAAAAAAAAAAGAAGACAAGTACAGTCATCTAGTACACTTTAAACAACGATTACAAAATACAAAATATAAAAAAAGTGTTAAACAATTATAAATGAAATTATATATATATAGAATAAGGAAAAACTGTAAAGAACATTTTCTATAAAGACATTGCTGATGAATGACGAATAATTTGAAATGACCAATAGCGTGACACCATCAAAAGTGACCTCGAATTAATCCTTAATGAAAAATGAATTAGATCTGTCTAGGAGTTTTTTTGGTTACAAATGACATTAATGACTATTCATAGTAGTAGACAGACAGACAGACAGATAGATAGATAGACAAAATGCACGATGATCAGAGTTGAAATCAGAGATTGAAACGTGGTTGAATTTTCTTTTTTTATTTTTAATTATCCACGTCTGTTGGATCACGTAGTAGATTACAAAATTTTCTTTTTATTTCTCATAATTTAACCTAAGGGATGAGGAGTGGGTAGGAGAGAGGTGGGGAAGGAAGGAAGGAAGGAAGGAAAAGAGAACGGGGGGAGGGAGGTTAACCAGCAGGAAGGAAAAGCGAGACGAGTTTGATGAATGAATAAAAAAAAGAAAAAAAGAAAAAAAGAAAAGCAGGGGGAGTTAAAATGAAGAAAAAAAAAGAAGAAGAAAAATGAAAACGAGGTGGGGGGAAACATAGTAGACAACGAGGAGGAGAAGAATGATTTACCTGATAAAGTATCGGCCAAGCTTCCTTCGAGGTGATCTCCAGGTACTCGGTTTCGACGTTGCTTATCGCGGTTTCGCGCGTTTGCTGCTCTTGGTTGTCGGTCATCGTCGTGTGTCGGGGGCCTCCCTCTCACTCTGTTTCTCTCACTCACACTCTGTCTGTCTGTCTGTCTCTATCTTTCTCACTCACTCTCACTGTTGGGTAATTTTAACGATGCGTGGTTTTCGGCGCTCGCAAACGAAAAGGAGAAGAGGAATAAAGGAAGAGGAGAAGAAGAGGCGCGAGAGGAAACACGAGAAGAAGAAGAAGAAGAAGAAGAGGAGGAGGAGGAGGAAGAGGAGGAGGAGGAGAAAAAGAAGGGGGAGGAGGTGCGTCAAGAGGCTGGGCCCCGCACTATACCCTTCTCTCTCACTCTCTCTCTCTCTCTCACTCACTCACTCTTTCTCTCTCTCTCTCTGTCTCTTTCAATCTTACTCTCCCCCCCTCAAGGTTCCTTCTTCCCACTCTTCTTATTCCCCTCTTTCTTTCTTTCTTTCTTTCCTCCCTTCTTCTTTCCCTTTTCCTTGAGGGAAAATAAATAAAAAAAAAAAAAAAACAAGAAAAAGGTTTCACTCTCTCAACCAACCGGTAAGGGATGATGCCATGCGCGAGCCGAACATCCGCGCGAAGGTTATCCTTAAACTCTCTTCTTTCCACTTCACACCCTTCTTTTTAAAAACACAACTATGGAACTATGAATTAAACAATCAAATTCTTCTTTATTTTATCCGACTATCTTTCTTTTTATTCTTCTTCTACACCAGATTTTGTATATATACACCTTCAAAAATACCTAAAAATTTACTAACGCAAAACCATATCACTATGCACTGGCTACAACAAGCAGCTTATACACTACCGAGATCAAAACCTCACTTCTTTAAATTATTTAAAACACTGTTGACATCGACATCGACCTCGTCCTCGTCGTCGTTATAGTTGTCGTCGTCGATTTAACTATTAAACGTAAAATCCTGAGAGTTATGCTACTGACATCTGCAGTCATTTGAATTTAACTGACAGAGTGAAAAAAAAAGGGTTAAGTGGGGAGGAGATTACGAAGATGGCCGTATTTCAACGAATGACAACTTCGTATTCCCCGCGCTAATTTTGATTTGACCAATCACTCGGCAAGGCGCGTAATTTCGAATTACGAAATCATTGAGAACTAATTTAAATGGAACTTTTTTTATGTCATTGATATGTCTGAGTTTTTCTTAGAAACTTTTATTACTTTTGTTTTGTTTTTTCTTCTAATAATGTCATATTGATTCATTCAAAGGCAATGATATAGTAGTTTTACTTGGAAACGTTTATTACTTTTATTTATTTCGTCTTAATGTATTATTTGATCGTTACGCGGAAATTAACGTCAATATAATCATTCGATCGTTTCTTATTATAAATATATTAAAAGAAGATATATTTGGAAATGAATGTGCATCATCTATTGCAACAAACTAAATAATTATTATCGTGAGTATAATTTAATTGAAAATCAAACAAAATTATCCGTATGGTAATGGGATCTTCCTGTTGATGGGGAATTCACAAGCAATCCTCTGAAATTATTTCTTTGCCTTGTTAAGTACATACTAACAGAGAATTGTTTGTCTTCTCAGAAATATACGTTTCTGATAAAATGTTTGCTTTAATGAGAAATTTATTATTATGAAAATATTAAGATAATGTTTAATAGGAATAAGTATTAATCATACGATTTAAGATTTCTTCATTCTTTTCGGAGGTACCTCATCTTCATTTATCTCGTCTTTGCTAGAATCGCTGTTAGTTGAATCGTTGCCACTATTAGATTTTCCACCAGACTCTTTTTTCAGCCAGGAAGCCATAAAAACAGCAGAGCTATTCTTTTGCTTCTCCCTTTATATAATACAATTACAGAATCAATACCCTGACACGTTACACTTTATCCATTCTAGCATGCACATGTTCCATTATTATATTGTGAAAAATTACATAATCTTATGTACATATACATACATATATATATATATATATATATATATTATACTTACTTCACTTCTATTTTCTCTCTACATTTTGCATCTTTATGAGAAACGTTGTTTACGAGCGTAGAAACTGTATACCAACTTAATATGTTGTCTGTTAATTCTTGCATCTTCAACATTTCTATAGCCTTTTCCGGCGATACTTTTAAATCCAACCATAACTGCAAATATTTATATTTTACAAAGAAATCTATTTACAGTCAAATGATTTATATTTATTCATACATACTCGACATTGTTCATCGTCTAGAAAAATTGGCGTACGATCATGCAACCATGACAAAACGTTATTTGATTCTTTAGTAAGTACTGAACAACTGTATACAATTTTTCCCTGCAAAATAATGATATTAATTGTAATTGCATTTTGATTCCAACATACAAGTATTATAATATTAACTACTTGTATATACTTCATCAGTTTGAAAAGCATTAAATATTCCAGCCATTTTTAAAGGTTTGTATCCTTCCCAACCAGATTCTGGGGACCATTTGTCAGGCCATGTTGTAGGATCATCAGGATTTATTCCTGATTCTTGTTTAGCGTGAATATAATATGGTTGTTTAGGTGATTTGTTAATGCCAGCTTTCCATTCATAAAATCCATCAAAGAGTACAATGCATTTGAATCCTTTTCGCAATGGTGTTGAGTAAAGTTTAGATTCTAAAATTCTGTCCAGACGACTGTTATGAGTAGAAGCTGTGTGTTTCTTGTAATCACCCTGAAAATTGAATTATCTATTGCTAAATTTGATAATGCAGTTTAATTGTTGTTTGGTTTTATGGAGTTCAGGTATTACCTCAACTAACCTTATGCCAAGGTGGTATCATACCCCATAACATAGGACAAAGAAGTCTTTCCTCCTTGTTCACTAAATGTGTACCAGCAACAATACAAGGAACAACATCTCTGGGACCTATGTTGCATGATTGTACATAAACAGATTCACTGCTATCCACCCATGGTACTTTGTGATATTCCCCTGATGGTTTTTTGTATGCACAAGCACACGACAATTTTTCTTTCGACAATGTACTGCAAATAAAAATATCATTTGTCAATATTATTTATATAATTATATCATATTAATTATAAATAATTAAAAAGAAAACTGTGTACCATGCACCTCGACCACACATCTTAAATTCTGTTAGGGCTAATGTTTTGTATCTACGATTATTTTCTTTTCTAGATTGATTTATTTCAATGAAATATAAAATATTATCTTCTTTGAATTATTTAAAATAAAAAGTAAACTTTTTGTAAATATATTTAAAAAATTTGTTTAATATTATCATTAAAAATTTGTCGAAATATCAATGAGCACGTTTAAAATCGAGTAAATAACGCGCCATTGAAAGTAACCAATCAGAAAGCAGCCGCCATGTTTTTACTTAATGACACTTTGACCAATCATGTTTATCATTTACGTAGCATACACTTTTTATGACGAATCGAAAAAAGTAACTGCGTTTAATTTCTATGGAGTTTATAGTTTCTATGACGAATCGAAAGAAAAAGAGGTGTGGTAGTTGTAGATAGAAGAAGAAGGAAGATTAATAGAAAGGATGACGTCAGTTTATATCTATGCGCATGCGTAAGAAATTAATTAATTTTTAATTCATTCATATTTTCCCGCGTAGTTCGATAATGAAGAAGAACAAAAATAAAAAAAAATAAATCAATTGCATAATTTAAATATCATTAAATATAATTTGTATTAATTTATAATTAATTGAAGAAAAAGTAAAACGAATCAAAATAAAGAAGAATAAAAATAAGAATCATTTTTACGAGCAATGTTTTATTCTAATCGATATTTTTATGCTCATAAATAATGCATGCAAAATACATGAATTTAAAAAAAAAAAAGAAACGTTAAGTACGTTCATTGTTAATTCGAAAGTTTTTACATCAGAAATAATAGAATTTCTCTAAGGTAAGAAAAATATTTGGAAAAGGTAATAAAAAGAATTCTTCTTCTTCTTCTTCTTCTTCTTACTTCTTGAGAAGAATTCATTAGCGTTGTAAATTAGTGGATGCGGTTCAACGAATGTTTATGAAAGTTGAAACGAAACATATACATATATAAATATACACACATGCATATAGAAGAAGAAAAGGAATGCGCTTGATCTTACCGTACTTGCCATTCTTCTATAATGAGCTGGAAGAATATACGAATACCAGGTAGAAAGTATATTCATGTGTGTATATGTGTATGTGTGTATAGAAAAGTTATGCAAATAATATTTTTATAACTTAATTATTTCTTAAATGTTTATTAAAAAAGAAACAAAAAATTATATATGTCTCAATTAAAAAAGGAATAATAATTATATGTGTAATATAATATTACAAATTGAATGTTTGTTATTTTTCTAACAGGCGGCCATTTTTAATTGCCATTTGTATTTTAGTCAAAACAACGATAATTATATGACTTTGTATTTATATAAATATACCTATATAAAATAATATAAAATACTATAAATAATAAAATTAAATATATAATATTTATTTCATAATATTATAAAAATTAACCTACAGTTTTTTTTTTTTAGTAAAAGAAAAATTACTAATTAAACTTTGATTTAAAATAAAGTTTATTTTTTTTTTTTTTGATTATTTTCGAAACTTTTTTTTTTTTTTTAATAATCAAATAACAAAAATTAACGTTTAATAATTTAATTAATAATAAATGACTTATTGCAATAATATTAATTAAAGAATTAACGGTATGGTTAGTACACATACGAACACATATATAAATTTGATTAGAAAATACATCAAAGAATGAAAATGAACATTTGTAAAAGTGTGTGGGAGGAAAGAGAAGAACTATCTGAATAACCAAATAAAAAAAAAGAAATAATAGTTTCTCTCTCTCTCTCTCTCTCCAAGAAGAGTATAAGAAGGAATTCTTAACACCGTTTCATGGAAGCCACTTCGGAGAATCCGGTCGAACGACTCTGACGATCATAGGCTTGCCAAGATGAATATACAAGTGTTGCCAGGTTAAAATCCCAGGTTCACATTGTAGTCAAAATGTAAAAAAAAAAAAAAAAAAAGAAATTGGGAAGGATTCCATTCCAAAAACTATTGGGTTGTCCAGAAACTTCATGAAGATTTTAACCAAAGATTAAAACCCAACACATTTAAGTGTTTTTCTTTTTTTATATATTAATATATTTAATGATATATAAGCGCCATTTTGTTTCACAACCATTTGTCTTCTGAATTTTTTTCAGGTTTTTTTTTCAAAAAAATAAAAAAGAAAAAAGCTTTTTTTTTACGCCATCTACTGAAAATTGGCACAAACTTTCTGGACAATTTAATATATATAACACAAACTGTATATATTTATATATTTATGTATTAAATTATATATATATATAAGTGCCATTTTGTTTCACAACATTTTTTTTTCTCCATCTTTATTAGATAAACTCAAAATTTTGTTCTTTCAAAATTTCTGTAGGTTTTTCTTGAAAAAATAAATTTGTGCAAGGAACCTTTCTGTATAATCTCCAATAAAACACAAACTTTACGAATATAAAGAAATGTATTCGATATATAGATGTTTGAAGGACAACGGTGAAAGTATTGTGTATTATTTTTTTTTTGTTTTTTTTTGGGGGGAAGGGAAGTACATTCGAAGGTTAAAAAGATTAACTTTTTAATCGGAGGAAGTTAAACAAACTACAAACACAAAAAAAAAATAAAAATAAAAAATTGATTTATGATACAAGTTGTGTAAGTTGCAACAAAAAGAAATAGAAATAAAATAGAAATAAAAGAAAATTATATAAAAACAAGAAGACAAAATTAAATGGAGAATCATATGTATGTATATATATATGTATATATGTATTTGAATATGTACCTGTATAATTATATTCTGAATTAGTTCAAGGTAGATGCATATATAATTGATATGATACGATTATTATCTTTTATAACATCCTTTTTCCTACTAAACTATCGTTTCCTTTATCGGTACGCATTCCAAAACGTTTGGATATAACGTGAAAGTGAACGACAGTGGTTCTCATTTTCCAAAAAATAAAAAAAATATAAAAGAAAATACGTAAAAAATATTACCAATAAAATTTCAATGAAGTATCCACCCGAATAAATTATAATTGTGTAAAATATACGTCCGAAATGTTTGAATAACGTGAAAGTGAACGACAGTGGTTCTCATTTTCCAAAAAATAAAAAAATATAAAAGAAAATACGTAAAAAATATTACCAATAAAATTTCAATGAAGTATCCACCCGAATAAATTATAATTGTGTGTAAATTATAATTATAATAAATAAAAAAAAAAAAATAAAACTAAAAATGTAGGAAACTTTATCGTAAGATAATTATGAAACAAAGTAATTATTAGAAGTATCAAATAATTAAAAGATATAAAGAATAATAATTATAACAATTATATAATAGTGATTGTAGAACGATTTCATTTTTCATTTAATTATATATTTTTTGCTTTTTTCTTAACTTCTATTTTCTAGTTTGTAACAAAGGAAAAAAAAAACACTCACACGTATTCGTATTATTAATTGTCGAGACTTGCAAAAAATAAAATGAAGAAAATAAAATGACAACAAAAAAAAAACCAAAACAATCTTCCTACGTACAAAATACAATGATCAAACATAAAATGATGTTTGTACATTTGTACATACAAACTTGAACTGTTTTACAAATTGATAAAAAAAAAAAAAATAATTCGAAACACCAGACATTTTCTTAATTAAAAAAAAAAAAAACAAAAAAAAAAAAGAAGGAAAATATTTAAAAATTGAAAGAAAGAGGGGAAAAAAAGAAAGGAAATTCGTTCTGTAGTTGTCGGTCCAAGAGGTGGAGGAATAGGAGGAGGAGGAGAAGGAGGAGTAGGAAAAGAAGGAAGGTGGAAGGTTCTGACTTTGGAGAACACCTTGTTGGTGGGGCCTGTTGACGTGTTGTTGGTCTACTGGAAAGAAGAAGAAGAAAATGGTAGGAAGGAATGAGAAGGCAGACACATGCATGCACGAAAGCACAAACTCGTGAAGCCCACCAGAGCTAGCTAACGTTCAGTTGATCATACTCCTCTAACGGAGTAACATTGTGGCAAACACAAAAAAACACACACACACACAAAACATTGTGTTCAAAATAAATGTGTCTACTAATGTATTTTGTTTATTTTTTGTTTATTTCAACACAAAATCAAATCTACGTGTTCAATGGATTATAATGATCAGCAATTGAAGTACGTATTTATTATTAATTTAAAATTTCAATGTTTATTTTGTATCTGATCAATTTTGTTTAGTTTTATGTGTGCGTGTGGGTATATTTGTGTATTTTGTTTTATATTATTAAGGTTATAAATTAATAATGGGATAATATAATATATTATATTGCATAATTAATTGTGCTATAGTATATGGTTTTATTAGAATAAAATATATGTTAATGGGATCTTAGTAATTTGCAATTGTAGTTCAATGGTTTTTTTTTTTTTTTTATTAATTACCAATTGAATTTTATTTTATGTCACATTTGTTTTTTTTTTGTATTACTATTTTGTTTATTATTAAATTAATTAATATATATATATATATACTGTAACAGTATAACTAATTATAGTGTAATATGTATTTCTATTAATTACAAATTGAATTTTATTTCGTGTCAAATTAGTTTTTGTGTTTTATATTTTATTTTTATTATTATTCATTTAATAAATTAACAATAACTAAATATATATATATATATATATATATATAAAAATTGTATGGTATAAACTAACTATACTATAATATATACTATTCTATTAAACAAAAATCTAAATTTATGGGATTAATAATAATTTGCAATAATAGTCAAAGTTTTTTTTATTAATTAAGAATTGAATTTTTTTTCGTGTTAAATTAATTTTCTATTTTTTTTTTTTTGTATTATTAAGTTAATAAATTATTAACTGATAACTGTATAATTAACTATACTATAATATATACAATAAGGTATAGAATTTTCTTTCTTTTTTTTTGTTATTGTTTTTTTTCCTTATATTAGAAACACGAGAGTACTATCATAACAATCTTTGCACTCTCGAATGATTACGAATAGGAGAAGGATAGAAGATATCTGAGAAATAAAAAAACAAAAAATAAAAAAAAATTATATGAGACACAGGAAAGAAATCAAATGTCTGATTACAAGGTTAACATTGAATATCTTATGTGTTTTTAGCATTATTAAATAAATAATAATAATGGGGTGAAGTAAAAACTTGACAAAAAAGGTTGAAACCGTACTTTGATCGTGACGTAATAAGTCTGTCAATAATAATTAGTAAACAACAACAATAACTAGATAGAAAAAACAAAAAAAAAAAGAAACAACAACAACAACAACCTGTAACAAAGTTGAGACACTGATTTTCATTACTAAAACAAATACAAATATTTTAAATATATATATATATATTTATTATTAATATTTAAAATTAATATAATACAAAATATTAATATATATATANTTAATATATATATATATATAATATATTATAATAAATTAATAATATAATAAAATAATTAATATAATATAATATAATATTTTAATGTAATTTAATTAATTCAATCAAATAATATATATTATATTTTTAAATTAATTAATATAAATATTATATTAAATTAATATTATATATTATATTTTAAATATTTATTAATATTATATATATATATATAAATAATATTATAAATGTAAAATGTGTGTTATTTAGAATTACAGTCTAAGAATTTTACAATTAGTCTTACCTTAGTACAGTATAAACAGAAACTAAAACGTTCTAATACGATTAAACCTATACAACGTGTGTTTGTATAATTGTATCTGTGTTTGAGTATGTGTTTGAATATCTTTTTAGATCTTTAGAATAAAATCAATAAAAGTTAATTCTTTTGATAAGTGCAACGTCACGTATAATACATATTTCTATTGTACTTTGTCAAATACGTATGTGGAATAACAGATTAGATGATGTTAACTTTCTAATATCGTATCAAGAAAGTTACACACACACACACACACACATTTATACATATGTAGAAAAATCATTGGAGTTCGATGTACTAATAAATGATTAATTAAATATTAACAAACGTTATCTCTCTGTGTATCTGTCTGTGTGTGTGTGTATGGTATGCAAATATCTTTTAATTAAGTTGAATATTTTAGTTTCTTTTTTGAGTGTGTCCTCCTCGTTTATTCACACACACATACACATACGCACATACACAACAAACAGACACACACATACGTTCACGTGTTATTTTTGATTTGATTTTAATGTTACATTTGTAAATGTTTTCTTTTATTATTCCTCCATCTTAAACACGTTGAAAATCGTGTGACGTTAATCTGATAAAAAAAAAAAACGAACATTTAATTCAAACTATCCAAGAGCATTAATTTCTTCTCTTCCTTCTTTTTATTTTAATTCTCTTTCCTGTGTTTTTTTATTATTATTGTTTTTTTTCTTTTTTGTCAATTCTTTTTTTATTTATTTATTTATTTATTTTTTTCTTTTATTACGATCCCATCTACGTAAGTGAATTATAAAATAAAATTGTATATCGTATTAACGTAACACGACCAGTTGTGTAGAGAACTGTTTGTGAGTGTGAGTGTGGTGTTTTAATTAAAAGAAAAAAAAAAAAAAAGAAAAAAGAAGACAAAACGTACAAACTCGTGCGTAAATTTTTTAATTACAAGCCTGACAACTGTTTATGCGTGTATGTGTGTCGTCTGTCTGTGTTTCTGTCGGAATTTTTCACACGGTAATATATAAAACAATTCTCATTGAATAATTTGATTGAATAAAAACAATTAAATATAATATGTGATAAGATAAACAAAAACAAAAAAATAATCACATTTGTTTATTTCAATTTTGTTTCAAACGATAATAAAATTGAACAATGTCTGAGCGCCATGTCAGTCATCGGTGACTGACGATAGACTTTAAATTAAGGCCACGTCAGTCACACGTGACTGACACGTTCGACTAATTTCCTATACTAAGTAAAGTGCATGGCCTGACGAGAATTTTCTTAAGAATTCGCGTAACGTTGTACGTCGTGTTAAAACGTTCACGTGTGTTAGTCATACGTAAATAGAATAACAATAATAATAACAATAAAAAAAAAGAAAAAAACAATATGCTTCTTGGTAAAGATACATTTGCAAATATGCATTTCTAGTCAATGATAGAAGCGATCTATTCGAGGAATAAAATCGTAATGTCATCAAACATGTATGCCAGGTTATATATATTTATATACACAGTGTACAATATTGAATCATATTAAATGAATCTTTTTACGTAAAGAAAATGAAGAATAAAAAATATCTGCACATTTTTATTACCGTCGTTATTTAATTAATCATTAAATTTTTCTATTAATAATCGTATCGTTTGGAAATTCAAAACAAATTAATAATAATGATAATAAATTTGTCATTTGATCAAAGATTAAATAGTGAAATGTTTCAACGAGTTGTGTAATACGTTTGTGTGATTCATTATAGTGATTTTTAATTTATTTTTTAATTTCCATTCATTTCATTAATTTCAATTAATATTAAAAATTAATATTACGACCATTATCTGGTCATACTTTGTTGTAATTTTGTTATTTAATGTTGATTTAAATACAATTCTAAATTATTTTTGTAAATGATTAAACAATAAATACCACACAAAAAAATATAAAAAAAAAAAACAAGGTTAGTTGTGTCATATGTAAATGAAATTGTAATACAGTGCCATCTCTTGAAAATTTTCAGTATCTGCACAATTAGATAACCTCTTAATAACAAATCTTTAAATTAGCGATAAAAAATAACAAATAAATTATTCTATAATTGTTATTTAGTACATTTAACATTAATATACAGTTTAATGCATA